ATGGAAGGATTGTTATAATCCTTATGAAAAAGCTTGTTTTCATTCGAAAAGTTGTTTAGCCATCGAACAAAACTGTCACTCGCGTCAAACGCGAAGACTAATAAAAGGCCGCATGAACAACGTCAATAATATGACTTGCATCTATGCCACCGAGATCGAGTTTGTTGTACGTCGAAATCTAAAATAAATTTTTTCCAAGTGAAATTATACAAATTATAATTGCAAATAATTATTATCTCTTTCATACGTTCTCGTTTCAATATTGTTGAGGCCTCATCGCGCTCTGCATTTGGCTTTTTTATCATTCTTATCTTTTTTTCGTAAACACCTATATTAATGGTTTTTAAAAATCTTAAGAGTTTAGGAAAAAAACGTAAGCCAAGTAAAAAGATACAATTCGTCGCATACATAATGCGTCGCTTTTATCAGCAGCTATGTTACGTACTCGCATCATTATTTTCCTAGTCGATCGTTTGTATGGTAATGTTACGCAGTCGAATTGCCGACACGTGCCATATTTTAGAGCGCACATATCTCGCCAATGTCACGCGACTGTCTATTTTTCACAAATTCAGAAATCCTTTCACCGCGTCTGACCTTCGTCACGGCTCATTCATATCAATGGCGATAAAATTCTTGCGCTAACAACATCGTCGGCGAAATACTTTATCGGCAGCGCGGTAATTGCACGATTAGACGTTGCACTGTGAGGTAATAATTCAAATCTCCAGGTTATATCATCAGATCATCTTTCTTTAAATTCTCAAGTATTTGTGCTCTGTTAAGTATCGAGTCGTTCTGTCGTGCATCCTTGTTCTCGCAAAAATTATTTTGTCAAAAGCACAGGAAGTGCATGAATAAAACATCAGACATATTCAGAGAATAAAATAATCTTGACGCAAGCATACAATACGTAAATATTTAAAAAAGACAAAATAGTACGAATAATCTAAAAGCTTGCTATTTTTAGCTACTTTAATTATCTACGCAGTTTTACTTGACTTTATAATCATTCTAATCTGATCGAAAGTATAATGCAGCTGTACATATGATAAATTTGCGTTAAACAATACTTTTGATAAGCGTTCCGATAAACTTTTCGAAATCTGCCACTTTTTGTGCCATTTGCGGACCATTTGTGCTCAAGTATCCTGTACCCAAGATACTTAAAGTGAGATAATTGCATATTACGAGCCTCTTGTTTCAATTTCGTTTCAATTTGTTCAAATATGCGTGAGGTAGAACGTAGTAGCGTAGCTTTTAAACGAGGCACAAAGGTCTTCATCTATTAAGGGCGAAAGGAGAAGTTCCGACAGCGCGGAACGCCATACCAGCCTGCCGCATCGATCGCATATTACGCATTTAGGACACAGTACATATCGTATATTACACATTCAGGACACGGTAATGGCATTGAAGTAATAATCGTCTCCTTCATTAGCCTCGAGAGACACGCATCGCTGGTCTATCGAATTTTTCTCACAAGCCTGATACTTCGAGGTAGGAAAATACGTCTTCTTAGAACACATATTTCTTATTTATCGAAAGCAACAAATGCCCAAAATTGCCGTTTCCAAATACAATTGAATATTTCGGAAAAATTGATTAATTCGCTGACCGATGCGTTAAATAAAGTAAAAAAGTTGGGGCGCGAAGTTTTACGTTGTTTTAAATCGATTTGACTTCTTTGCAATTTTATGAATTAACTCTGTGTATATAATATTGTTGTAAATGATCCGGTATAGGGCAAATCCTGGGAACTTTTTCCTTCAAAGGAGAAGGGGCATTTCACGCGTTACATTTTCACCACATTAGCGATGGATCGAAGCAATTAACGCTATCTGCTTCAATACGGCATATGGTTGCAAGAGATAAAGGAATCGCTTTCTATTTCCCAGCTGACGTCACTGCCGATCTCGTAGCGTGCTGTGTGCGCGAATATAAAGGCTCCTTCAATTGCTTTAATTACTTAGACACCGATGCTTTGGAATACCATTTTGTAGAAAGGAGAACTTTATTTTCTGTAGTGTACAATTAGCAATTAGCAATTCCCGCCGTGATCTTCCTTTCTTTTCATGATAGCTGATGTATCAGTAGCCGCGCAATTTTTCGATTAAATTTCTCAACAAGTCGGCAGTCCACTTTTTCTTTAAATGCAAATCCAGTTAAGTATTATTTATTTACTTTTTAAGGTTTTATCATTGAAAATTTTAATAGCTGAACTTCATTTTCCTAAATTTTCATTATTTGTGAAAAGTACCCGGCTTACGTGGTGCCTTTTTGTCTCCTTGTTGGAAAATTATTTTTACTTTTAATGTTAAATTATTTTACAACAACTTAATTAAATCAACTTTGTTATTCTGTTCGGATCTATTTGACCCGGTTTTATTTTTCAAATGCGATAACTCCGCACGCATTTCATGCCGATAATTTTAAAGTTTACATTTGATTAAATCCACATTATCGAGACACGAGGCAATTATTTAATCTCGAACGACATCGAATTGTGCAAAGTACGAACAGACCGGCATAGGGTCGGATTCCTTTTCCTTTTTCGAAAATTGCAGGGAGATGAATGCGCATCCCTTGCGCCATTACGTGCGATAATATCCATGCGTGAAAGCGTCGAAGGTGAATGAACGTCGTCGATTACTCGTGCGCTTGTCACGTCAATCGTCGATAATAAAATTGCAGACGCGACGTTGTTTAGTACATTTCGCATCCGCGCGCACTTGCAGCGACCGAAAGCAATTTAAATAACGCGCAATGAGTCATCGTCATCATCATCGTGCGATTAGCGTGAGCTTTTACGCCGCTGTTCTTTCTCTTTCTCTCTTACGCGGATTGCGCGAAATTCTTTCGTTGTTGTTGTTGGATCATTTCTCACGCCGTCGTTATCGCTTAGGCGAGAGGAGATAAGATCTTTTTAATTCGATGCTACTGCAAGACACGCGCGCTTGATTCCTCGCCATCTTAAACTTCATCTTTTTAACATCTTTGAATTAATAAAGTCTTATATTTTTAATTGTATTTTTCTTATAAATTCTTCTAAATTTTTAATTACAGACTGGAAAAATAAAATACATAAATTTTTTCTTAACTTATCGCGAAATAAATTTGTTTTATGAATTCTCATAGCTAAACTATTGAAAATAGATAGTCTTTCTTCCGGAACACCCGCTATATCTCGTGTTCTTAAATTATAGGAGAAAATTCAGTTATTTCGTTATCTTTGAATAATTGTTTTTTGTGTATATACAAAACCATTTTATCATGAATTAGTAAGGCGAGCAACTGATGGGACTTTAAAATTATACACTATTTAATCGATTTTGTTTGTGCCTCGAAAGTCGTGTTATATAAATCTTTTTGTTGAGCGAGTCTCTCGAGATGTTTTGACGTTATGGTGTTATTGACTCTCTGATGAGATGTTAAGAGAATAAGTTAATTGAAACGTCAATTATGCAAAAGCATGCGTGAAGTTAAAGAGTTAATATCGAAGTTTACTCGCAATGCAAATTCGTTGACCCAGAGCTTATTTTTCGCTCTTAAAAACACCCACCGGCTTAAATTAGTTCCCCTTCCTCTCGGCACACTGACGATTTATTTGTGGGGCCCGAAACGTTTAATTCGGTCGCACTTGCAGCTAATTCTACACCGTACCGTAATAGTTCCGTATTTATAGTATATTACGGTAATATTGTACTCGTTTATTTACCGTCCGAGATATTGTCCATCGTTGCGACATTTGGAATGTATTGTATTGATAATATTATCAGGTCTGATTTTGGATAACGCATTGAAAATTGATGTAGCTGACAATTTGATAGCGGGAAAAAGGAACATTTGCGAATAAGATTTATGACACAGATTTATTACACAGATTTGTACTAGATGTTAAAAATACATACTACATATTAACAATCAATAAACGATCGGTTGGCATGGATTAAAAATACTACATTGATACATAAAAATCTAACTTAAATTCAGAAGAGATGTAATTAAAATTGAACAATTTAGAAAATTAAAAAAAAATTTTTTTTATATTTGTTACATTTTTATGTTTGATATTAATTACTGTAATGATCGCTTTTAAAACTTGAGTTATTTTATGATAGTTGTTACGTTAAAAGTCGTCAGTGATGCTATTAGCGCCAGTAATTTTTTCATGAAACTTTGGATAGAAACTGATAGAAACATTTTAAGGAAAATACTTGTTGCAAAATAAATATGCACACATTTATCTTAATTTACTTAAAAATTTAATTATATTAGCTCGTTCGTGTGGTGCTCAATTATCAATTTCAATTGAAAACCACGTTCTCCCATAACAACGTCGCGCACGACACGTCGTTCCCTTTTATTCCGCTTGAAAGCCGCAATCTCGCAGTGGTAAACGATTCGACACTTTGTTTGCCGGTCCGTGGGCTCTGAAGCACATACCAGCGGCGCTTTGCGAACTTGTTCGCACGCACAGCATTGGAATCGATACGTGAAAGTGACACGCGCACGAGTTTCCATTGAATATTAGGTTTTAAAGCGCGGTCCAGTTCTGTCGCTCTCTACAAACTGTCGTGTTTATTATCGCTCGCTTTTGCCATGGCATCCATATGAGCCTTGTGCGAAACGCATTAAATCCCGAAGCCGAGTGAGATTTTTTTTTAATAAAACGGCTCTATCGCCTGGTAACTTTTTTTTTTTGTTGAAAGATCGCTTGTGAAAAGCTCTGAATCTACACTTTTCGGATCAAGTATTAAAACTAAACTTGCTAGCACTGTATTTTGTACTTGAGCATAAATTTTATTTACGCTTCCAATCTCTTGTTATGATTATATTTTTTGATTTGCCACAGAAAAAATAGCCGCAGAAACATTACACAAAAAAACAAAAACTTGAATCTTTTTATTATATTAATAAATTTTTAGTGTGAAAGAATTATAGATACATATAACTCTGAGTAATAAATAAATATGTTGTGTTCTCTTTTTTTGTTACAGTGTTCTTAATATTCCATCCAGTGATTTGGAAGATTTATCTCTTATCCAAGACGTGGTGCAACAATGGGTCGAAAGAAGATTCAGATTTCACGTATCACAGACGAACGGAATCGTCAGGTAATTATAAACATTCCAATCAAACTTGTTTTTTGTTTACGTAAAAATTTAACGCTAATTGCAATTAGTATATCGTACACTTTCGAGAATTGTAACAACTTCAAAGGTTTTCTTACGTTTGATTTCTATAAGGAAGCATGAAAAAGCGATTGAAGCATCATGTGTCGCTATTTTAAACAGATATCTAAATACTATTTACTTTTGCTTTCTCACGTAAAATATATATAACATTCTCATCATTATGTTGCATAATTAAGATAATGATCTTGAACAAATATAGTAATTATAGATTAGATCTGTTGTTTCTAATTATTGTTCTTTTACACTTTCTGCGCTGAAAATAAATATGTATTTGCAGTTTGAAAAGAGCAAGGTGAAATGCAAATGTAGCTAAATTGATTTTAATTATATAATTCTATGAAACCTTATAATTAATCAGATATGAGAAATATTCGATGGCTATTTAAAAAAAATAACCTTAACGGCTTAAAAATCTCGCTGAAGTTCACCTTCGATGCGCCCCTCTCTTTTTTTATGCGACAGGTGACCTTTAACAAAAGGAAATTCGGCGTGATGAAGAAGGCGTACGAATTGTCAGTGCTGTGCGACTGCGAGATTGCACTGATTATCTTCAGTTCGAGCAACAAGCTGTACCAGTATGCGAGCACCGACATGGACAAGGTTCTCCTCAAGTACACTGAGTACAACGAACCCCACGAGTCCCTCACCAACAAGAATATTATCGAGGTGAGTCCATTTATCCGCTACGGATTCTCAGGATGAACGAGGATGCGCCAGCGAGTCCGAGGATCGAAGCATTGAGACAATCAACGCTAATTTTTTGCAATCTTCTTTCTAAAAGTTCCGAGGGAAAAATATATATCTCGCACTCGTAGTTCCAGATATGCCAAGGTCAAGATGTACAGCAATATACATATATAGGGTGTACCGAAAGAGCTTACTCTAAGTCATAAATGATAAAAATCCGAAGATTTAGAAACTTTCTTAATGTTGGAAGATTAATAATTTTTGAATTGCGAGTTATTGCAAATTAAATATCAAGTGCACATGGATATCAAGATCCTTTTTCAAAGAGTATGCTCAAATATTTTCCATTTTGATATTAATTTAATTAACAATTGATATTATATATTTAATCCAAGGCTTATAATTTATTATATCAAATATCGAGATATTCAAAATTGACAACTAAACAGATATTTCAATATTTAAAAAAAAATATGTATAGTATGCTACATGTGTGTGTGTTGCGACACGTTTACTCGCGCATACAAGTTACATTTTGGTTTTACGCACTGAGCTTTTAAGAAAAATTTTAGAACATTGATTTTTTGCCTTCTTTATTTAATTATATTATAGATGTCGGTGAATTACGTAAGAAACAACCGACATTTTATATATTTGCGAGCAATATATCATGCATAAGTATTTGTGCCGTCATTTGTTGGATGCAATTTGATTTTGATGCGAGCAATGTAATCTTTTTTTTTTCCTGCGTGAAACGTAATTGCGAGAGTAAACCGGGTAGAATAAGAAGCGCGCGTCTTGGTGTTAAATTAACGTGCATGTGAAGGTTGAGTGCCCTCGGGCGGTGTGGTCACGTGAACCTGTCTGCTGACACTTGCAGGCGCTCAACAAGAAGGAACATAAGGGTGCCATGTCTCCGGAGAGTCCGGAACCCGATGCAATCGAATACAATCTTACCCCGCGCACCGAGGCCAAATATACGAAGATCGATGAAGAATTTCAAATGATGATGCAGAGGCACCAGCACAATGGCAGCAGGGTAAATATTCAAATCAGTTAAATGTCAGTCGTATCGAGCACAATTCATATTCAAGTAAAAGTTACAGCTTTTTTGTTGTATTTATTATTTGCATTTATGTAAAACATGCGACATGTCGTGATTACCTTGTTTTTCCCAAAGTTTTATATTGTTACAGAACATGAATATAGTTTTGTTTTATAACAATTTTTAAAGTAAAAAGGCTCAAAATAAGTCTCTCATCGAAAATAAAATTTGATTTTAAATTAAATCACTTGGTTCTATTTATATTAAGATCATCCAAACAAGTTAAGGTTTTATCTTTGTCTTTGCCAAAATGACATGTGAATATTCTGCTTTATTTAAAATCTTATCGCATGACCTGTCATACGTCAGACACAGGTCAATTTTTCTAAGCGTAGTTTGCAATTATTTTTGTACTTATTTTTCTGCAGAAAGAAAGAAGACGTATGCGGTAAGGATTTTGTTTTAATTTTTTCACAAAAAATTTTTGTAGCGGTTATGAAATTTTTAAATGCTCTATTACGATGGAAAATCAAAAGCAAACGGACTTTTTTGAAAGGAATTGAGTCTTTAAATATCTTTAGTCTTGAGTCTTTATTTTTTGACTTACTCTCGTATTTTTAAGTACATTAATGTAAATGTATGATAAAATTATGCACTTTATTGTAATTTTTTTCTATTATATTTTGTAATTCTAGTTATGCCTCTTTAATTTCATTATAAATATATGCTATAATCGAAATTAGATTATTATATAATTTATAATTTTATAAGAATTTGTCTAATCACATTTTAACAGAAATATCTTTTAATTAAATTTATGGATAATAGAATCTAATATAAATTGAATCTTAACTTTATTTGAATAAAACAGTCGAGACTATTGAATTACTTTATAGAAAATTATTCTCCGTGTCTTAAGTCATGCTTATCAATATGATTAATACTTAATCATTATATTTCAATAGCGCTGCTTCCGTTCCGTAACTTAAAGAAATATATTTGCGTTTGTACGCATTTCATTGCGTTACTTGCAGTTGCAATGAAATGTACATGTTGGCAAATTACAAATTTGCCACCAGCTACTTGATAGTGCTGATGTCTCTATTCACAACGGGTATTATTAATTTTGCATTGTATCGGTTGTGATTGCAGACAATGGGACAATCGAATTATACGCTACCAGTATCTGTACCAGTGAACAGTTACGGCGAATCTCTCCTTGGATCTAGTCCACAGATGGCACATACCAGCATTTCTCCACGTCCATCATCATCTGAAACGGATTCAGGTAACTTCAATTAGAAACTGAGAGTCGGCAGTGGCGAACGCAGCGTTTTCGAGAAATTTCCCTCCAACATATTGAACGTTTTGTTACAGTGTATCCTTCGGGAGCAATGTTGGAAATGAGCAACGGCTACCCTCCGTCAGCGTCGCCATTAGGTGGTTCGCCCAGCCCAGGACCTTCGCCCGCGCTCGGGGTTGGTGGGGGTAGTGCAAATAAAGGCAGCAATCCGTCTAGGCATTCGCCTCAACCTCCGCCTCCACCACCGCCGCCTCATCCTCACAGGGCTAACCTTCGAGTGGTTATACCGACACCACTCACGCAACCTCTCCCCGAAGACACTAATTATGATGTAATTGTCTTACTATTAACTTCTCCTAGCTTTAAATGAAGGTTGAACAGAGACTGTTATTTGATCATAATATTTTATAATTTGTCTCACAACTGCTCGAATTAAAACATAGTGAGCTAAAAACATAGAGTTTGTTTATCTTAGATAATAATGAGATATGAAATACAAATGGGAAAACTAGATTTTACAATGCGATTAAGAAGAAATAAGCTAGCTTTTATGAAAGATATTTATTTTACATTGGAAGAAATTCCCGTATTAATCGCTGAATTATTTATATATACTATGTATTTGATAAACATTGACACTTGCGATAAGTCGTGTGTTTATATTTCAGAATGCCCATACACAGTCTGCATTGAATACACCGGTAGTAGCGTTACAAACACCAACAGTACCGGCCGGATACTCTAGTTTTGGACCAACAGATTACTCTTCGGATCTCGGGAGCCTTGCATGGTCTCATCAGAGGTACGTTGATGACTTATCAATGTATTCGGCAGCCACCATGTCCAGCATCAGGTAAATCATATTTCATAATTATTGTTGTGAAAGAAAGCTATATGTTGTCCAGCTGGTATGACATACTTTCAATTATTTTATTCACACTAGTTAAATATTGATATTTTTTATTAAAATCAGTTTTTAAAAATTTAGCATATATATATGTACACATATAATAATATTACACATATTTTGATAAATGATAATAAATCTATCCACAATTCGAGACGAGATCTTAATGAATTTGACAAATTCAAACTGAATATATATTATGTTTTAATCAATTTTTATTTTTGCATTGTTTTTATTCTTCTACTTATTATTTTACTGTTTTTCTCTTTTTTTTGTCTCTTTGCAAATTCTATACATACTTTATTTAACGGAATAATTCACACCGATATCTATTTTTGTTAGATATATAATATAATATTGACCACTGGAGTGCTATAGATTTTTTTCGATTGCAATAGTGTTTGGCATGTCATTATGTTGAATTTTCTTCATTTTCATTTGTAGATAGTTTTGCGCAATCGACTCACATTATTATGCGGCAGTGCGTCATAAAAAATGCATTATAACGATTCATATCATAAATTGATTAACTTTTATTTACATTCTACGCACGCTCAAGTCGAGTAAATACAGAATCGGAACGCAAAAATTACAACTTGTTCACTAGAGGCTAGATTGTTACGTTACAAGAACATTGGTTTTTTTGAGTCGTAACCATTTATATGAATTTTTCCTTGTTAGTGTCACGAATGTTTTTCGATATTAATTATTTTATATTGCAGTGGTCTTCCTCATCTAGCTGTGTCAAGCAGTACACCACCACCATCCACGTCGCCTTTGCCTGTAAAGATAAAAAGTGAACCGATTAGCCCACCCAGAGATCCGCTCGGCGGTAACAGCGGGTCCAACGGTGGACCCAGCAACGCTAGCAATCTACATCATACGAACCTGAATGTCGGTCCTTCGTCCAGTACCGGTGCTCCGCCGCCGCATCATGTATCTCATCCGGGCCCTCAGACACTGAACTTAGTATCGAGCAGACCGAGTAGTAACCCACCTCCGTCCCACTCGGGTAGCATAACACCGACAAATCTACCCTCACCAAACAGTGGCACGGTCGGTGATATCAGAACGAACCATTCTAGCGGTGGCGGGAACGGAGGGAACAGTTCAGACTACGAGAACGGACCGATCATGAAACGCTCGAGAATCACGGAAGGTGGTTGGGCAACTTAATGTCGATCGAATTGTTGCACTCATCAGTTGTTTGATACCTCCTCGACGTACAACGGCATATAGTGCTTGTGAGTTCCAGTATGATTAAACAAACTCCTTTTAAACGTCTTTGAGACATGTACTTCGTACTACTTCGTACTACTTCGTACTACCACGATACGATAACAGTAGTTGTGGGTGGTATGCTTTCGCTGTTTAGCCAGCGGAGTGGAAAAATCTGTTTATATTTTGAAGCTGACACAGAAATATACATTTATTTGAAGGAAAAGAAAATACGGTGCCATAATGTTGAAACTTTATATATATATATTATATATATATGATATAGATACCATATATATATATTTTCATGTATATAATATGAAGTGTTGTTTGTATATATGTCATAAAATTCGTAATAACTTTCGCGATATGGCATTGTGTCCTCGATGCTTGTCGTACGAAAATTTATGCGAAAGAAAACAGTATGTTAGAGAATAACGCAGTACCCAATTGTGAAATTTCTGAAAGTGTACTAATACTGAATCTAAAAGAGCTTGTGAAGAAATCTACACTTAGTGTAAGATTTATAAAGACCAGGACTTATCCATCGCGATTCGTTGTTGTTTTGTACGGTATAGTAGTCAGACTAAGCCATAACCCGTTAATAATAATATGAATATATCGCGCTGAAAAAAAAAGATGTATACTTTGTCACTGCACTTCACAAAAGCATTTTATTAAACGCATTGATTTACTTATAGATGATTAATCTGTTTGAAAGAAACGTTTGTTGGCAAAATTTTGTGTTAAATTGTAGTCTTGTCCAATTACAAAATTTATACCACAATAAGAAACTTTTTGTTTTATTTCATAATATAGTCACTATGTTACAGTGGTTTTATATTCTCGCAATATTTTGATGAATTAATTTTATTGTTAATGTGAATTTATTAACGGTCTATGGTTCCCAAAACCATGTGGAAATCGGCTGCTGTACTCAAACTATTCACATGATATTCTATAGAACAAGATTCGAAATTAATATATTGAGTTATAAGGTAATACAAGATAGATAGGCATATTATATAGTGTTGATTAATAAAAAAAGATATACATACAGCGCGCGTATAGATATATACATATATATACACGTTATATACATTTTCCACAAGTATTTTGCACATTTGTATAAAGAAAAATTATGGAGGAAGAAAGCTTGTGAAAACTTTGCAACCCTTGAAGCCTAAAAAAAATGCGTAATGAAAGTTTATATGCCACAGGTATATGCCATGTATTAAAAATGTGATTAAACAAAACTTATATTGTAAGAAGGATTGAGTGATATTAATGTTAATAATCGTTAATCATATAAACACTTTTAAAGAAACCAAAATTACATCTTTAACTGTACTTTACATATATTCGTCATGATCAATTTTACGTAACTTATAGTTTTAATACAGTAATTAAAAACTTGCAAAAAGTACATAGAAAAACAAAACAATTTATTCTAAAAAGAAAACGAATTTAACATCTTTCGTCGCAGAGGTCCATTCTGTGATATATAAGAAATTATTCTAGAAGATTATTCTTCTTTTCGATATCAGAAGTACGACCTTTTCGGCCAGCAATTGTGTAAATGTAATGTTAAATGATATTTGGCAAAACAGGGTTGCAATTGTAATGATGTAGAATTACCTTCTTCCTGAAAATCAGTGAAATGAAAATGTGTCAAGACAGTTTCAATGTATGTGTAACAATCTCAGGATGTATCCTGGTGAGAATCGCTCTCGAGAGTTGTATTTGATAAATCATTGTAATTAACGTACTAATGGAATACGCAGGTATATGAATGAATAGTGCCTGGCACCATTTGTGGCCCTCCTGTTAGGATGCTTTCCCAAATCGTATATGCAGTACAATTTGTTAATAAAGTCTTGAAAATAATAAGCCACTTAAGCGCGATATACACGAGAAACGATATATGATGTTGTAAGCTTTATAATGTGACTTTTTGACAAGTAGCATGGGAAGGCAACCTTTATTATTGTCATCGACGGTTGTACTATAAAGTACAACCTTCGATATTCATTTTCTTGATTAATTATTAGAAATGTTTCATATGACTGTTCGAACAATCGGTATTCGGAATATGAATGCGTATGCGTATAGTCACTAATTTTAATTACGAATTTGTAAGATGATCACAAAGTGCAATCTCTTAGCCAACACACTTTTTTATCAAACAAAAAATATAAAGAAATTGTTATTTTTCATAACAAAGAAGTAAAATTTAATGTATTAAAGATATATATGTCTCCACTAGTTATTAAACTTTTCCTATTGATACAAAATTTATTACATTTAATTGATGTTCAATTGTAATAGATTCTATTTCATATATTGCAAAAGATAATCATATATTGCTGATTCATATTTTTTAAACACTTGCAAATGGATTTATATTTTGAAATTTCGTTTTACGTTTCGAATGTGCATTTGTGTTTAAACAGGAACGCAAGGGAAATCGACGGCAGCCTTTTTGATCTTGTTTTCTTGAGAATATTATATTTCTTCTTGCGGCGTTTTCGTAACTTTTGAATACAAAGTAGAACTGTTGAATTCAGTTTTATCGGCGTGTTGTATGTAATGTTACATTTCTCCGTATTTACCTCACACAGGATACGGTTTAAATCAGGATAAATTTGATCCTAACTGATATGAATCCTGAACTTGTTAATTCTTTCTCTGAAATGCCCTATTGTGATATCGAAACTAACATGATCCTTTTGCATAATAGTCCATCTAAGGTCATTTGAGTGTTCCGACATCGACACTTCTATAACAGTCACAATGTGATGTGAAAAGCATGAGCAGTACTTTATATGCAAGGTTTATATGTGCTATCTGATCTATTTTACCATAACGTACAGTATGATAACGTACTGCATAGCGAGACCCATAAGAATAGGCAATTTGTTAAATGTACGTTAAGTACATGTACGTACACTTCAATGTATATTTTTAATATGAAGTACGTGTAAGTTATATCTGTGAGAAAAAAAAATAAGTTGATGTAATAAAAGATGTATTCGTCTTGATTGGCACAACTAATGATGAAGGATACATTCTCATCAATATCGCAGAATGAAATAAAGCTTATACCTTGTGATTTTCACCGTTCTAGAGACATTGGGAATTATTTTCAAGTCGTTTAAAATCTAACGGAGAAACACGTTATTGTAGAAAAATTTCGTATCCCGGTGATTGGAGCTATTCTCCTACATAAGTTCTTTTTCTTTTATTTATAGAGTACTTGAAGTACAATTCAAAGTACTGCCCATTTGTGTAAAATTTTAATTTGTGTGATTATATATATATATACACACATATATATATATTATCTATGCGTTTAAAAATAATGTTTGCTTACGTTGTAATCTAAATACTCTTTGGTTACGTGCCGTGAATTATGATCATATAGTTGTGCCTCAAGATTTCAACAAATATTCAATACGTAATGATAATTATTGTAGTTAAAAACTCAGAGACTATTGAAATTGTTGGAACGCTGTGAACGAAATGGACCATCATTAGAAGAGCCATATGCATAAGATAAATGAGGTCTATGGATGGTTAGACGTTTTATATTGCGACATAAATTAAGATTGTTTGGAAAAAAGGCCGTTATAGGCTTTAGACAATGTTCGCAAATAATCGAATTGCAATGCACGGCACAAGTACCAGATCACTGTAACAATGTAGCAAAATAAAATATAATGTATATGTACTTAAGCCACAACTGTTGTCACCACAAATAAATATATATATATATATATATATATATATAATAATATATATATATATATATATATATATATTAATATATATATATATATATAAAATTAAGTTTAAATACAGGTTTAAGTACTGGACATATCTGTAAAGCCAAGTAGCATCACATTTTTAAACGTCATAACAATATCGCCATTTTACTGTTACTATCTGTATCTGTGCATTTTGAAACTACGGAAACGGTATATCCTGTTTGATACGTACACAATCACACCAAAAGTTATAGGAGGATTCTTCATATATTTTTTAACATATAGTTATCATATTGATTTTCTCTCGCTTAGTTTTGAAATGCACTCTGTAAACAGATGATGGGGGACATACTTTAAACATTATTATACGGTTACACATACCTATTTGTATAATACAATTTAAAGGGGTTGTTTGACAATTCTTCAAATTGCGTATCGTACTGTTAATATTAATTTCGAGATACAGTTACACATTGTACAATGTATAAATTTTAAATAGAACTGTATGTGTACAACACAGACATACACACACATACATACACAAAAGATTTGCATTATGCATACATACCGGACGTATGCGTATGTGGATATATATGTATAAAAATTATAATAATGTAATAGTAATAACAATACAATATTATAGTCGTGCGTTACGTTAGCTGATAATTGCGAGAATAAAGGAAAGTAATTCATATAGTGCCATCATAACTGACTAATTAAGGGAATACCGATTTTACGTTTTAAGTAGTATCATAGAGAATATTTGAGGAAAAAAAAAATACTTACAATGTTGAAGACAAAGACTCGGTTTATGTTTGTAATAATAATTATAATGTTTGCCAAGTTTGTTACATAAGTATGAAGCCATTGAGAAATTTTATGTGCTAAATCTTAAAGATATATTTTATTCTCCTATGCACATTTTCATGCCACACGCAATTGTACTTGAGTACACGAAGTACATGAGTTCGGTTTTGCGCTCGTGGAGCAGGGAAAGCGCAAATATGCTGAACACGGAATTAAATCTTGTTTGTACGTTATACTTTTGGTGCTCGACATTACCCAGTTATTGTTACACGTTATTATTACTGATCTGTATGACCATACTACCATATTGCCTATTGTTGGTCAGTATAATCATCGTCAGAGTTAGTGATAAATAATGATTATTTGATAACGCTCTATGTACATCACACACATACATACTACATTGTAAACACATACACATTGTGGTTATATTTCAGTGTATCAGCATAATGATATGATTATTACGATGTTGCCCATAGAATACATTTTACTTGGTTTTTACATTTGGCAGTATTTTATTTTAGTATTATTCCATCCACCTGTAGCTTTCAACGCTCGACATGTGACTTGTACCTGTAGTACGTTCATTTTTGTGTTAACATTATTTATACTTGGACGAAAATATCTGATATTGTTTTGTAAATTGTTTCATTGTTGCTCGCATGCTTCCTCTGTGTATTATTTCGTGATAATTTGTATCGTTCGGATTTGTGTGATTTTTCTAATTTCACATGTAACCTCTTACTTACTGCCTCTGATAAGTTTATTATTATAGAAATCATCAGTCTTTCGTTGCTTGTTACAAACGCTAATACATCATTTCAATTGTATTTCCTTATGTGATTGTATAGCATTGTTAACATAATGAGAGAATTGCCGTGTTATATAAATTTTATTGTGTTTTCCGAAATCTTTTATGATATATGACCAGTTGCTTATTGAAATAACTTTATGCTTGAAAACTGTAGCAGACAACTATTTCTATAGATAATAATCGAAATATTTAACATGTTTAATGCAGGAATAATATGTAAGGAGTAATTATAAAGTCAATAGTCAATATTACATGATGATGACTAATAGTATATATGCCGTATCTGGCATCTCAATACTAATACATATTTTAATTTATTTAAAAAAAAAACAAAAAAAACAATATGTAACTGATAATACCTTGCCATTGAAAAATAAATTTTCTATTTAACTTATCATTTATCTTCAATGTTCAATTATTATTTTATTGAGATAATTATGTATATTATATACGTATAATTTTTATTTATTCATACATAGTTGTGCAGTTTTTGAAGATGTAATATATTTTTAATATACATTTCTCGTGTAAAAAAATCTTTGTAAACTGCGATATTTTTGTAACACTGATGTATACAGCAATTCGGTTCAAGTAAATCTGTATCTCGAAAAGCATGATGATAAGATAGAATTTTGGAGTGCTTTTTTTTCATCGATAATTATATCATAAGAAATATCATTGTGCATAATTGCAAAAGACCAAATTTTTGGCGAACGACTCTGATGTCGTATGTATGTGGTTACATATTATGCTGAATACTAGAAAACACAAAAGTTATAAGCCACATCTTTTGGGATGTTAATTTTACGATTCTTGTAAAGGATAATATGCGTTTACAGTGATGGGAAGGAATAATAATGTATTGACGTTTCTTTCGAATCTAGAAATATAGCTTAAAACAATGCATCTTTGTTGCCTTGAATTATGCGTTGTTTTCTATTTTATGTCAATTTACAAAAAAAAATGCTATTTCATATATCATAGAAAGATTATACCTTGTACTTAAATCTGGGCCGCAATGTGATCATATTTTTACTCGTTAATTATATCAGAGATTGCGTTACAGGTATCGTCGTTCTAATGAGAAGACAAAATTTTAAGCATACGAAAATTTTCTCTTCTGTTTTACTGCTTAATGGAAATCTCATTACCAATCTATGTTAATGACTTTCGCATTGTACATAATGTGTCCTTCAGCCTTTGACTCATCCTCTCTTCTTTGGACAGTCAAATGGACAGTTAGCTACGTGTTCTAAACTTTAGGGATCTCGACCACGTCTGTGCACACATTTTAAGACAAAAGTCGTTATGTTATTCAGTGTAGCACAACTGGTTTGCACTGAATACCAATCTTCATTGTGACGTCCACTAATGTAATTTGCAGCGATTGTAAACACGTAAGATAGACACGAGAGAATAATTCTCTTTCCAAGAGGATCTAAAATAAATTGCGGATAGACATATCTCTTGATCTCTTAATATTATGAGTACTTAAATATGTATAGGATATATTTAAAAGTGAAAAGGAACGTCGAATCGCGAGTGTTTTCCATTTTTACTAAGGAGGAAATGTTTGATCCTTAGTTATTCGCACTAGTGTATTCTGCAAGTGATATTCTACTTAAATATCTCAAACATCGCGAGAACCTAAAAGACGTCTAAAAGATTCCATATGTCTTTCTGATGTTCTTTAGGCAGAAAAGATTTTTAGATATCTTTAAATGTTGCATATCTTGAATTGTTTCTTTGTCGATTATAGCCAGCGCTATAATTTTCAAGAAGACAGAAATTCATTCACGCAACATTAATGCAGATTGTATCGATGAATTCAAATGAGATACAATCCCTCGATTCCTCGATTTATATAGCAATTTTTCGTGCAATATTATATAAAAAAATAGTTTAAAAAATCTCTTTAGTATTATTTAGATCAATTAATACTAGTTTTTCTAAAAAAAAAAAAAAAAAAAAAAAATAATATTGAGAATAGGAATTTCTTTATTCTTTATCAAGTTTTATTTCTGCAAATCTCAAAGGATGTGTATCATTTTGATACATCAATGCAGAAGTAATGTCGACGTCAATACTTTGAACATTCTCAGAATGATCTATCTTACGTACGTACAACCGTATGTCTATCCTCTGTAGAAATGCCTTATTATCACGTGCCTCAATTAATATTTAAACTGTTCACCTGCTTATACCTATTACTTGTTAGTCTATGTAATGAATATATATGTGTAATATCGAGTTATTCTTTGTACTGCTCTTGTAAATATATTCTGAAGAATTAATGTCATCCTCTCGTCTATATATACTCTGTATACATTACATATTATACGTTTTTACGGTCACCTTCTACTTACCGAACCAAAAGAATCTGTTCTGTTCTTTCTGAGAAGAACCGCCCTGCAAAATTTAAAACAACAAAATTATTTAATAATTTATTTGCAAATGTATTGTACATTAGGGATATCTAATTTCTCGACATGTTCTTAACACTTTGTTGAAAGAGCTATCGATTCTTGCTTTTTTTTCTATTTTTATTTATTATTGTATGCAAGGAAACAATTAAATATTTTATAAAAGACTAAAATTAATTTAAAAAATTTGTAGACTTGATTAAAATTTAAAATGGTGAAAATATTTGATTTTAAAGATTAAAAATAGGATTTAAGCAAATTAATTTTCAGCGATTCTGTTTATTTAATTTATTTTTACAGGGGCGTCATACCTTTAATTTCTTTACAAACTACCTTGTGTCTTTGTACCGCATGTTATACGTAATCCAATTTGATTTTTTCATTGCTTTTCTATGTTACATTTTCTCCTCGCGTGATTACTTTGTGTATCTGTCTCGAATTGTAAAAATTGATCACTACGTAGAAATAATTTTCTCTTGTGTAATCGTATTTTTCTATTCCAGCACAATCATCGGCACGAGCGTTATTAAAATTTATAAATGACGCAGAAACCGGGAAGCAATTTATAAAACAATCATAAATTTATTTCGAAGAAAAGTATTTAAAAAAATACAAATACGTATATACGTCATTAGTTTATGGATGTGGTGTAGTTTATTTTACATAAAAATGTAATAAAAAATAATTTAAGGGAAACAATTTTAATTTAATATTTTAATTTCATGTTAGTTAAATTAAAGCTTTATAATTATTTTATGATATTGAACGAATTCTGTTCTCACTTGTGAAATTTTTAATTCTCTTGGTTTTTACATGATGATTGAATTTCAGTTTGAATTTATTTTATCCGCCCTAATTTATCATCAGAGAAATAAATATATTTTCTTCTATATACAAAAGATGGCTGTATCAACGCCATCACGTTTGCGTATAACCTAAAATCTGTGTTTTATCAAATAATATCATATACATATTTGATTTTAATCGTAAATTATATATTGCGATATTGTAACAATAAATCAATAGTGATAATAAATTATTTAACGAAAAATGCCACAAAAACCTGCAATGGTAACTCATGGAATATCTTATTCTATTGTTTTAATTAAAAAACTATGTTTATTAAAGAACAATAATAACGACATTAAATAAATTTTTTTAGAAGGCAAAACGCAGCAGCAAAAGGGAGCAGAATGTACCAGTTTCGCGCGTTCCTCCTAAGACAGCTGTAGATGCGAATAATGCAAGTGGTTTGAATCCAGAAGTGCAGGATCGATTCGAATTGGAATTATGTTGGTGTATACAACAGCTGGAAACGAGTTTGGCTAGTGGCAAGTTGCAAGACAAGCAGGCACAGGATCTCAATAAACATTTACATTCATTAAAGGGCAATACTGCACCGTTAATAAAAAAGAGACAAATAATGAGAAATACATTGGGAGACTATAGAAAGAAGATGGCAGAGGATGAACAAAAGTTTAGTAAAACTGTATCAGATGTTAAGTTCACAAATTCTACCTCAGCAAGTAAAAAATCAATATTTATTAAGAAAGCTGCTCAATATAATACACAAAATTCTAAAAGAGAAACAGATGATCATAAAAGACAAGATGTGTCAGTCAATACAAAACATGCTATTATTGATAGTAATAGAACTCAAACCTCATTTCAGTTTAATTTTCAGACATGTCAATAAAAGCTCTTTTTATATTTGTATAATGTTTGAATTCTTTAGTGCATATAATACCATCTCAATTCATGGTTTGTAGGGAAGTTATTATTATTTAGAAAATATGGAATATATGTATAGATATATTGTAACAAAATTTATATGCATTATATGCATTTATACACAAAATTTTTGTACGTTGTACATATATTCTTTTCAGATTTATATGCATATTTCACAAAATCTTAGAAAAATGTAGTGTGTCAAATAAAATAATACATTTTAGAATTAATGATAGAATATTGTGGATATTAAAATAGTTTTCAAGTGTTAATCAGAAATTTTAATAAATTAGTTTATAAAAATGCAAATTAATATAAATTATTGAAATAATGTTTTTAATAACTTGTATTTCACAAGGTCCTGTGGCGCAACGGATAACGCGTCTGACTACGGATCAGAAGATTCCAGGTTCGAATCCTGGCAGGATCGAATTTCTTTTTTGATTATTTTTTATATTATAAAAAATACACATTTTTATTTTTCTAGTAATTAGTATTTTTTTTATTTTTTGTAGTACGAAACTTATTTTTTTATGTTGCCTTTTTCTACAATTTTTCTTTTGTTTTTTTCTATAAAAATTAAATATATTTGTCTTTTATTTTAAATACAGAGAATGTATAATAAAATACAGCTAAAAAAATCTTTTATTACATTGGAAGTGGACCATATTATTATTTTATGCACATTGCATGAATAATACTGCAATATGTTGATTGTATTTTGCGCAGAATCGAGAGTTGTTGAGCGAGATTTAGTCACAGCCGGCAGTGATCGTGTGACGCGTCCAACATATTGGTCTAACATGAGCGACAACGTGGTAGCCGATGTGCAAAATCTATCTTTGACGGAGGATAAGGCACGCATCCTAAGTTTTATATAAAACTCGGGTTCTAGCACTTTTTAATTCTTAGTATTGTTAAATTATGCTGACGAGTTTACGTTTTCACGTTTGTAGGACCGTTTACAGTGGTAATAAATGGACACATGCTCGGGTTGGTTAAGACGTATTTTTGTCTAATCTTTATGCAGTTGTTATATTGTAGCTTACGAATTCTTTGTTGTTTCATTGTTTAACAATGCAATCGCATTAGAATGTATCTTTTGTTTATAATACGTAGTCAAACGTAGACAATGATAATCGATAATCTGACGTAACCTACGAGTGTTTTACATCTAACACACCTGAATATATTTTTTTTGCGTCATTCAATTTAAAGCATTCATTTAAATTTAGATGCACGAGATGTTTTATTTTGGATTCTTTGTTTTCTTAGACGAAAGCAATGAGAGCAGCAAATAAGAAGAAAAATGTGGTGGAAAAGTCTGTATCTGAGCTTAAGCCTTGGCCGTCCTACATTCAGGTGAATACCACCAAACTTATTAAACGAATTTAATATTTCAACACTGCTTTATAAATATAATTAAAATTTAAATTACTGTATTATTTTTCTAATATGTTAAAGTGAATAGAGAAATTAAAAATTATATAAGTGGAAACATTTAAAATTGAATATCTTTGATAGGAGCAATCTCTTTAGTGTATTGTAATATTTAATTTTTGATATTTCAATCTTTATATATTTTCACAGGATCGTATTGTACTGTGGGATAAACTAAAAAAGGAATACGAAGATGCATTAGCTGCAAAAATTCCTGAGAACATAACTGTGACTCTCCCAGATGGCAAGGAAATTCCCGCTGAATCTTGGCGTACGACTCCTTATGATGTGGCAAGAAGCATTAGCCAAGGATTGGCGGACAATATTGTAATTGCAAAAGTCAATAACGTATTATGGGATCTTGATCGACCATTAGAATATGATTGCAAATTGCAATTGTTGAAATTTGATGACCCGGAAGGTCAGCAGGTATTTTGGCATTCCAGCGCTCATATTCTCGGTGAAGCTATGGAAAGAGTTTATGGCGGTTGTCTCTGTTACGGTCCTCCTATTGAGAACGGCTTTTATTACGATATGTTCCTGGGTGATAAGGGCATTTCCAACACGGACTTTCCATATTTGGAAAGTCTCTACAAGAATATAGCCAAGGAGAAACAGCCGTTTGAACGACTAGAAATGACGAAGGAGGATCTGTTGGAAATGTTCAAGTACAATGAATTCAAGGTGCGGATTATAAATGAGAAGGTACAGACGCCCACTACTACGGCTTATAGATGTGGTCCGCTGATTGATTTGTGCAGGGGACCGCACGTCAGGCACACGGGCAAGATAAAGGCCATTAAGATCACGAAAAATTCGTCTACGTACTGGGAGGGAAACGCTAGCGCGGAGTCACTTCAGAGGTTGTACGGAATAAGTTTCCCAGATACTAAACAATTGAAAGAGTGGGAAAAGTTCCAAGAGGAAGCAGCCAAGCGTGATCACAGAAAGATTGGGAAAGAGCAGGAATTGTTCTTCTTTCACGAGTTGTCGCCTGGTTCTTGTTTCTTCCAACCGCGCGGCGCGTATATATACAATGCTCTGATCGAATTCATACGTTCTGAGTACAGGAAGAGAGGATTCCAGGAAGTGGTCACCCCGAACATGTTTAACAGCAAACTGTGGCAGACTTCGGGACACTGGCAGCATTATGCCGAGAATATGTTCTCTTTCGACGTGGAGAAGGAGACTTTTGCGCTGAAGCCTATGAACTGTCCAGGTCATTGCATGGTATTCGACGTTCGATGTAGATCATGGCGCGAGTTGCCGTTCAGACTGGCGGATTTTGGCGTGCTGCATCGTAACGAACTCTCCGGCGCATTGACGGGTCTCACTAGAGTGAGACGTTTCCAACAAGACGATGCGCACATTTTCTGCTCCATCGATCAGATTAAAGACGAAATGATGGGCGCTCTTGACTTTCTGAGGCACGTTTATTCCGTCTTTGGCTTCACGTTCAATTTATACCTGGCCACGCGACCCGAGAAGTACTTGGGTGATGAAGCCCTCTGGGATCAGGCCGAGAAAGCGTTGGAGGAGAGTTTGAATGCGTTTGGTCAACCGTGGATTCTTAATCCTCAGGATGGCGCATTCTACGGACCCAAAATCGATATAACTATCCTGGATGCACTTAAAAGGCCTCATCAATGTGCTACAATACAATTAGATTTCCAGTTGCCCATTAGATTTAATCTGTCTTACGTTAAGTAAGTGTTCATTAAATTTTCAGTAAATTTTAATGAGATATCTGAATACTAATATTCGCATTTTGTATTTACAGCGAAGCAGGGGAGAAAATACGACCTGTTATTATACACAGAGCTATTCTCGGTTCTGTAGAGCGTATGATTGCGATCTTGACCGAATCGTACGGAGGAAAATGGCCGTACTGGCTTTCTCCTCGGCAAGCAATGATTGTACCAGTAGCATCGCAATTTGACGATTATGCTTATGAAGTGAAACAAAAACTGTGGAACGCTGGTGTTATGGTAGAAGTTGACACTGATCCGAGTGATACATTGAACAAGAAAATTCGCAATGCTCAGCTTGCACAGTTCAACTTTATACTTGGTATGTTTTTAATAAAATTATTTTAAAATTATATTGTATTATTTATAAGATAATTGTTATTGTGAAATTATATTATTGGCGCAGTAGAGGAGAGTAATATTTCTGTTTATATAGCATAATTTGTCTATTACATTAACGTGTATTTTATTTTCTTACAGTTGTTGGAGAAAAGGAACGTAATGCTGGCACAGTGAACATTAGAACGAGAGACAATGTGGTGCATGGTGAAATGGCGGTGGAAGAATTAATTGCAAAATTAAAAGTTTTGAAGGAAACGAGAGATCAAAGCAGCGAATTAAAACGTTAATTTGATGTCTCACATTAAAATGAATTTAATTCTGAGTACTATTTATTTTTAACTAGTATTTGATTCTTGGTAAATTGTATTTGATTAATTTTTTAAATTATTTTTTTTTAAACGTGTATTTTTTATTTTTCGTATATCGTTTAATATGGGTTAATAGGTACCGCAAAAAAGCAGAAATAATGATGGATGATCACGAAAGAAATTAAATTTCATAAAACGTAAAGTTTTGCATTTATTGTTCTTCTTGAATGATATGAAATCTCATCTTCGTAATATTTTGTTAAGGATATTATAATATACATATATTATATACAGTGGCATTTTTATCATGAATTTACCTAAATAATTCTTTATACACATGCATTTTATTATAAAAAATTATTTGTCCTGAATATATTTATTTGAATATATTCTTGAAACTTCTGCTAAAATAAAATTGCTTAATATTTGCCTAATGTAAAAATAAAAAAATTGGCTCGTGAGGGAATTGAACCCCCGACCTTCGCTTTAAATTCAGTGCGATACTCTAACCACTGAGCTAACGAGCCCTTATGACAAATATATACCTGTGATAGAATTTTCAATACAACTTGCTATTTTGTTTTGAAAATAGCAAGTTGTTTTGAAAATTCTATCACAGGTATATATTTGTCATAAGGGCTCGTTAGCTCAGTGGTTAGAGTATCGCACTGAATTTAAAGCGAAGGTCGGGGGTTCAATTCCCTCACGAGCCAATTTTTTTATTTTTACAGCTAAAATAAAATTGCTTAATATTTGCCTAATGTTTATGTGTATCTGCTCTTAACTCAATATAATAATTATGTATATTATATAATATAAATTTGTATGTATGAAATTATTAGTTTGCACTCTTTGGGTTATAAAAGAAATAAAAAAAATCATTACAACAAAGTTTAGAAGCTTGTAGCATTTTCGAGTAAACTGATCTATTCCGGAATTAATTACTACTTTACAATTTAAGTTTTTACTGACGGAGACGATGCAATGATGTCATTAATCAATCTAGGGTCGATCAAAATCTGTTCATTTGAAAACGCTATTAGTCTAAAACAAAAACAATTAAAATTTGTGCATACGTATATATGCAATTGTGCATGCAATATCGACAAATAAGATAAAACAGAGCAACGGATTAGTTCACGGATATAACCATAGATGCGCCATATGGCACAATCTGTCTTTATCTGCTTTCGTTTTAGAGATATTTCAGAGATTTTCAATGATTTTAATTTTTCGATTCTACGAACGTGATTTCCTCGGAAATTACGTGTGAAATACAATGAGAGGTACAGATTTCTTTCTGGTCTCATTCCTTTCATTAAAATTCCGAACGCAAGAATCCCTTTAAATTTTTAGTTAAGAGTACTAAAACAAATTGATTTGAAGCAATACATATATAGCTGTAAAAATAAAAAAATTGGCTCGTGAGGGAATTGAACCCCCGACCTTCGCTTTAAATTCAGGGCGATACTCTAACCACTGAGCTAACGAGCCCTTGTGACAAATGTATACCTGTGATAGAATTTTCAATACAACTTGCTATTTTCAAAACAAAATGAAGAATGAGGTCAGAAAGAAATCTGAAAATAGTTTTGAAAATAGTATTAAATGTAGTACATAAACCAAACATTCATCTAGAAAAAAAAAGTTGGCCCATGAGGGGATCGAACCCGCGACCTTCGCGTTATTAGCACGACGCTCTAACCAACTGAGCTAATGGGCCAGACATGTACAGCTCTTTTTTCCAAGTATTTTCGAAATTTTTCAATAAAATTATTAAAAATAGAAATATATAAAATAGTTATACATTTTTAGTTATTACATTGCTAGAAAATTTAATTTATTTGCATAAATAAACTGTACATATAAATTTATATAGATATTATTATTATGATATTTGTATAATAGTACAATAGAATATAAAGAAGTTGTTTTTTAACTAATTTTTAACTTTTTTAACTAATTATTTTATTCAGAGTAATTTTTGAGAGATTTTTTAATAAGAATAATTACTATAAAAGTGATAACTGTCGAAATTTCATAAATTTGTTTGCTTATCTACTATTTAAAATTTTATTAACGTTGTTAATCGTTTAATAATTTCTGTGTTTAGAATTTATTAATTGTAATTGTAATATTAAAATATGATATATATTATAAAATAAATTACATTACTATAAAAAACGAGGAAGTACATTTTACAATGTATACAATAACATTCATATTGCTATTTTTGCTATTGAATATATATTCAATACAATTTATAATTAAATATTTCTCTGAAATTTATAATTATACTTTCTATTTATACAACAAGTTAATGGTAAAATCTATTATAATATAGCTGTTTAGTAATGTAAAATTAAAATCTGCACATAAAACTAAATTCTGAATTCTGAAAGTAATTGTTATGCTCAAATGAATATTATCTTCAGCTATTTTTAAATCAGATTATGCGCAACTTGATTGGAAACTCTCCAGAAGAGATAATATTTTTTTTCAGTACTAATCATATGTTTTTATATGTGAATATTTTTATACATGGTTTATTTCTCAGACATCGATAACCCTTCACCTTCTAAGCGCAAAACAATTTCCTTCCGAAGTTGATACTAACTTCGCCGTTTGCGAGAGTTCGTGAACCCTATATTGATTCCACTATTCATAGAAACGACTAGGAAACGGTCAATGGACTATCGTCCGTTTCGATTGATGCGTACGTAAACCGCGGAATCTATAACTAACTTCCTTCTTTTAAGTTTTATGTAAAGTGTAAATTAGTCCAACGTCAACGAACATCAACGTTGCAAGGGCATCGCTATCAAATCGACGCCCTTTGGGATAGTGTAATGCATTACAGCTACAGTGCAATATCTATAATTTGAACTCATCTGAACATTAATAAACCATGTATATTAATAATTAAAAAGATTCGTATTTTACATAAAAAGACAAAAAAACAACAGAAAAAAATATTTATGCATATACATGTATATTTATATCTAAAATCAAATTTATTTTTAATTATCGCTATATGCTCTTATATTTTATTTCTTTCATTATCAATAATTAATCTTTTATCAACAATAATTCTAGAATATCATGTGTGTTTCATTGAAGAACATTATAGTGAAATAATAACGTATTGTTTTGTCATAATGTTGCCTATATTTATGTTTTTATCTTGAAAAAAATTTTGCACTTTGAAACGTGCACTTTGAAACGTGTTAATTAACTCGTTCTGAAAATTAGTTTCATAACAAGTGCTATTGAAAAATAAAACTTGCAAAATAAAAAGAAGTTGCATAATGATCAGTTATGTTTACATTAGCCACATACAAGAAACTAGTAAAATATAAATCAATTAAATCTGCAAAGTTTATATATTGTAATTATTAAGCTATTATTACTGTTTCCTAAACGGATTGAAAAATTTCAATCGGAGAAAATATGTCGTCGAACATTCTATTCAAAGATTCGTATGTATAGAGACAATGGACAGTTATCGATCGATAGGTATTATGACCAAAGAGAATCAATAAATTGGAGCACTACCCCGAGGTATGCTATGATGTGTTCTATATGAGAAAGTAAATATAGCACCAAAATATGTAATCAAATTATGATATGCAGAAAATCCAATAAATTACACTACTTTACATATTTAAAACTTTTTTTTTCAAATAATATACAATACATAAAAAAATTTTTAAACAGAAAAGAGAACTATACGAACAAAAGCGCGGATGTTAGAACGCAAAAAATTTATAGTTCTATTAATCTTTTCTTTTTTTTATTAAAACTATGTGTCAGCTAAAAAGATATTTACTGCATATTTTTTACGAAGAATTTTTTCCTTGCTGGTTACATTGCAATGTTCTGGATAAAAGTGTGACCACTTTGTAGTGCACACATGAGTTGTTATAATTTTTAAATAAAAAATTGTTTTGAGAATTAGATATCGTGTCGATAAAGTCTTATCGTATTCACGTAGTTTGTAGTTTATCTTGTAATTTATATAATATACAGGGTGTCCTATTTTAAAAATTCCACGTGAATAACTTTTCAGAGAGACATTTTCAAGAAAAATGATTTAGACCAAAGTTGTTGGGTTTGGAGGGAGACATCCGATGATGACATTGGTTTAACCCAGGGTGTACATGCCAAGGTCATATAAAGGTCAACTTTGTTTTTTTAAATAGAACACCCTATTTTTGATTCCAAAATCTAATAGCTGGTGTCAAGAGCTTTTCAAAACACTATAATAAAGTTATTTTTCATTAAGTACTTTTTGAGTTATGAGGCTTGAAAGTTACAGCATTTTGACATAAAATACAAAATATCTTGTAAAACATTCAATTTTCGGGAATCTTACCTTAATACTTTTATGCACAAAATAATGAGACGAATTGGTATAAAGAAAACACATAGTTGCTTTCAAGAAAAAATATGTAATTTGCAACATGCAACTGCATACTTTTTTTTAAATCAATGTGTTTTCTTTATACCAATTCATTTGTCTCATTATTTTGTGCATAAAAGTATTAAGATAACATTCTCAAAAACTGAATGTTTTACAAGATATTTTATATTTTATGTCAAAATACTGTAATTTACAAGCCTCATAACTCGAAAAGTACTTAATGAAAATAACTTTATTATAGTGTTTTGAAAAGCTCTTGACACCAGCTATTAGATTTTGGAATCAAAAATAGGGTGTTCTATTTAAAAAAACAAAGTTGACCTTGGCATGTACACCCTAGGTTAAATCAATGTCATCATCGAATTTCCCCCTCCAAACCCAACAACTTTGGTCTAAATCATTTTTCTTGAAAATGTCTCTCTGAAAAGTTATTCACGTGGGGTTTTTAAAATGGAACACCCTGTATGTAATTTATCATTCTCTTATATAAGAAATAATTGACGCAAAATTGTCATTGAAACGTTTGAAATGCGTCAGTGCCACTTGAATAAATTAATATTATACTTGTACGAAGTAATAAAAAAATTATATCCTTCAGGTATACATTTTGCAATTTATGTAAATCAAGAGCGACAACAAAAGATATTGCAACGCATTACTTGATATTGTATATGTTTAAAATATGTATTTATAAAATTGTTTTGTTAGTTTATTTTATCTGCATAAAGTTTTTGTAATGCGTCATTTATCATTCTCGTATGTAAGAAATGATTGATGCAAAACTTGTGATGTTTAAAATGCTTTAGTTAGCCACTCGAATAAGTTAATAATCGTACAAAGTAAATATTAATTTTATTCTTCATGTAAATATTTCAAAAAATTTATGTTTCTTCCAAAGCTGATACTAGCTTCGCCGTCTATCTTGTTTATTAAAAAATGCAAGATTATTCCCTACATATACAGGGTATTCTTAAAATTTTGACAAAGCATTCGTGTGCAGGTAGAGCGGACTAAACTGACGTCCAGCCTACCGCCGAATGCAAACGGGTGGCGAGACGATAAAAAAACTGGGAGGCCATCATATCATCATACCATCAGACCAGACCTTGTAGTAAACAACTTTCCACGCGCCTAGTGACCATGATCGCTGGGCGGTTGTATCTCGCCGCGCGCTTGCATTCTGCGGTAGGCTGGGCGGATATGCGCTTATTCGGCGATCTTTAGTAATTAATAACTCGTTAATTATTGCAAAAATTGCAAAATGGTACAGGATTTTTCGATTCAGTTTAGTCCGTTCTATCTGCACACGAGCGCTTTGTCAAAATTCTAGGCACCCTTTATGTATCAAGACGTACGATTTTTAAAACTCAATAAATCAAGAGCTAATCACATCAAAAAATATTTAAAAAAATTGTTTGTCAGTTTGTTTTATTTGCACAAAATGTTTTGGTCCATTTAATAAAAACGTCAATATAATATTTATTTAGTATTTCAAATATAACAAATTTTATAATAAATTTGTACATATAATATATGTGTACATACATATGTATATCTTATAATATTGTACACGCTTTTACATTGATGCATCAATTTTTCATATAAGATAATCTCTGTCTTTTGTCGGATAAAATATTTAATATATGTATATATTCTCTTTTTAAATGCATCAATATTATTTCGACATTGATTTTTATCAATTAAGAATTTTTATTATTTCAAGTTTAAGATTATAATATAAAAATTTTGAATGCTAAGTTTAACGTTTTTAACAGATAATATATCCAATAAAATTGTTATCAAGAAATACTTATATCAAGAAATATTTATATTACATATGCAATAGCTTTAGTAAGAAGAACAGTTAATTAATGCAGCTAATAACATCAAGAATTAAATCAAGAAGGTTTGGTTCTAGAATATAGATCAATCAAGAATTTCATTAATAAGTTTTCAAAAATGCATATAAGAACACTGATAATTAATCATTATCAGAGATAAATTGGTCTTCCTAAACGCCGCAGATAAGATTCAAAAATAAAAAGAATGAGCAAACAATGTTTTATTTGAATCGGTGAATAAGATAAGATTAAAAGTAAATATATAAAAAAAAAACTTTTATTACTGAATGAAAAAAAACATCTTCTCTTATGTAGAAATTATTATACGTAGTGTTAAAAATATATGATAAAAATTATAAGATATTTTTTATTATAAAATAGGTCAAACATGTATAAATATGCAATAAACATGTCAACAATTTAATGATGATTTAAAAATGATTAAATGATTTAAAAATGATTAAATAATTTAAAAATGATTTAAAATTTTAAATATTAAGATGTTTTAATAACTTTACAGATTTACATATTATAAAAATACATAAAGAAATTCGGTCATTATTTTTATTATGGCATTGTAATTTTTTAAGTTAAAAACATTTCAGAAAATTTATTAGAAAGTTTTAAATTTCTAATAAATAATCTAATATTTAATAGAACTATTTTATATTTCCATACATATTTACGCCTTTGAACACATCGCTATTCTTTAATTTGACCTAAGGAATGAATGGTTAAGAAAATACAACCAGCGGATCTCGAACAGCTCTATAGAGATGTAGTTATGGAAATCCAAGTAGTGACTTTTTTGTCGGGGTCAAAAAGTATTTTCCATAAATTATGCCTTGCATTTTTAAAAAAAGAATTATAATCTAAAAACTGATTTCTAGCTAAGATATTTTTGAACATCAGTATATATTATTTTTACTGCACAAAAGCGTATTATATGTATCAAAAAACATTTTAGCATAATGATTATAACTCAGTAATAATCTATTTAACTAATCCATTCGTTCTATTCAAACTGCAATATTTCAAAACTTTTAACCGAAAGGTATTTCATTCTATTATACATTCTTGATCTTTATTTTACATTCTTTAATTTGTTGGAAATGCGTCATTAATTCACGAATACATACACATATAAATATACAGAGACAACACATGTATGTAGAACAATGAGGACCTTGAGAACCGATAGGTTTCATGCACATATCATTGACATATAAAATGTATCTGTATGTGAATTTATGCACAGAAAACTGGTTTACACTCTTTGTGAAACGAAAGTGACATTGCAGCGCTCTCGGAAGCCTTCATTAAGTTATTACAAGTTATGAAAATCGTACACCATATTATATACACGAATTCTCGATGTTTTTTAGTTTTGTTTGCGAGTTGCAATCTTCAGTTTCAGTCGGCGTTGATGAAGATGCAAAACCAAAGCAAGACTTCACCAAGATACAGAAGTATATCATTTTATTACGCTAATATAAAAAATTGTTTGCAAATTCTTTGTTCAATGTTAAAAATAGATTTACTCAAGATAAATTTAAAAAAAAGTATAGTGTCATCGACTTAACGACAATATCATTAAGCGATATGTAAAATGGCTCTTTAAGAGCAAAACATGTTTGCGATCCAAAGGTCTATACGGAGATAAAGTAAAGATGTTATCTTGCCAGACAAAGTGATGGTCTATTTATAGCAATCAAAGAAGAAAGTTTTCTTTTTTTATGGCAACCCTTCTTCAACAAGTGTTACATGAATTACATTTAATTAACGGAGCATTCGATTCTATCGCGAGAACATTTCAACGGACGTTGGAAACGTGAAAAGATACTCTGAAGTACTGTCACGACTTCGGTTTCCCCATTCTGGCACATACTATGCTATGGTCGGAAATATTTTTCTTCTACCTGTTCTAGCTTTACGGCGATGCACTTGGCGGAAGTGTGGACGCAACAACCACCTACGGCTAGCGAGTCTTCCGTTGACAATGGTTACGGTCGTCTATAGTCCAACGCTGACGGAGAGACCGACAGACCTATGCTCCGCGCAGCCGGGCTGTTGCGTTTGTAGTAGTAATGGAAAATCGCGTTGGTAGCGTGTCAGAGCTATATAGCCATTCACGAGTTAGTTGTGATCCGTACGCGAACGGCGACGGTTCGAAATTAGTGAAAAATTCGCTCACATCTGTGCACTGTGACAGATTTGAGAGATTTTTATCATTGTTAAAACCACACGATCGAGCGGTAATTGTAAGTAATTTCAACTTTTTGCCTTTGCAACTACCCTTATTCGAAATTTTAAGAACCGATTTTTTTATTGAATGCAAAATTTAAAAATTATTTTTGTCGAATAATATTGGCAAGTTTTACGTGGACGATTATCTGATATTCTAACTCAACTAGGAATTTAAGTCAGTTTTTTAACAATTGGTGTCTGCCAACTGTCCATGAAAATTCTGATCGAATTACAAATCGTGAAGACAACTAAGAATCATGCACAATGCGAATCACAATTACAACATGCATTAAACGTAACAATATAAAAAGCGAATACGCGAGTGCCTACGCAATTTATCTGGGAAGCATCAGATTACCTTATTAAACGTAACAATATTTACTGCTCATCCTCTCTTCTCATTTAAAAAGAAATTTTCTGACAATGAACTAAAATTTTATTAATGTAAAACCCGCATAAAATTGAATAGGTAATACGCTTCTTTTATGTATACTAAAAAGCTGTAGTCTTTGCATAAATAAAATTTTTTAATTCCCTATTAACATTTAATAATATCGCTTTATTAGAGCATCAAAATATTGAACTAAATGAAATGTTTACAATTGTCGAATAAAACAGTTCCATATTTTCCGAAGAATATGCAGTTTATTGCAAATTCTGCGAAATCCAAACAGCTTGTTTACTCTAGTAATATTTTTTCTATCCGTTTCATATTTCATATTAGATCGATTGCAATGTAAATACAGTAATGACGCGATTGTAAGATTGTAAGTTATAATCTTCAAGTTACGATTATTTACAAAATTATCTACTTTTAATATTATTCTAGAAAAAAATTGCACATAAACCTTTATTGAAACAATATATTATTTAGACACTATATAAATTTTTATATTATTTTTATTTTGCAATAAAAAAATTAATTCCTTCTTTTCTTCCCTGATTATAAAATAAAATTTTTATTATCAATACGCAAAATTCGATCAAATTAATATCAAAATTATATAAATTTATGCAAACAACGATAAAAACGACACATGATGTTCACTAAAATAATAATGTATAAAATAAGTAATAAAAAATTTAAAAGTCAATGAGACAAAAAAAGTGTTTTTAGTATTGTCAAATAAGTTTATAACATCTGGTCCGAATATTTAAAAGTTGTAAAATTAAAATAAAAAAGTAGGAGAGTGGAAAGATAACATTTTATTTTCAGGGTCACATTAATATTAATTGGAAGATTATTGCCAATACTATATTTCATCGAAATTTGTTACCCTGCTGGAATTTGCTATGCTATGACTTTGGCAAGAGTGAGTTTTCTTAAACACATCAGGAAAAAGAATAGTTGTGATAAAAGATATTTTTTAACAAAGATAGATATGAATGATGTACACATAGAAATTTCTATCTCCAATACGATAACTGTATCGTATGCAAATAACTCGACGGCAAATGATAAAAGTGAATATGGACTTGTTTGTGGCAAAAAGGTTAACAAATATTTAAGATTATCGAAAATGCGGACACTGTGATTACTTCAAAAATTTATAGTAGAATCTGCGAAAATTAGTTAGACACAAATAATCTTTTTAACATTTTAGTCGGAATATTTTAAACATGAACTTTTTAGATTTTAAGAAATAAATTTATTTACAACAGAATAATTTATCTTAAGTGCTTCTTTATGACTTGTAATTATTAGCTTGTTGTTTTCACGATTATTATTTTAATAAGAAAGAGCAATATCTTAATATTACTTGTAATTATATTGATATATTATTATCATCGTGCGAGACAAACAAAATAAATGCGATATAAATCTCTCTTCTTAGGAAAAATCTTAGAAAAAAATCGACAATTATTAAAAGCAACGTGAAAAACACATAAAACATTATCTTTTTAAAGTATTTAAAAAGCATCTGTTAAATATTTAGTTTATTTAATCATTTATGCTTTATGCATTCTTCTGATAAACAATTATTTTAACAGAAATCACACAAAATACTTAATCTGATTACGAAGAGCTACTATTTATCAAATTTTATTTATTAAAAATAAAAACTCAGGCACGTCCTTCCTATCTGCATTTTAAAACAATATTACTTAAGTGTTACTTTATCTGATTGTTTTAAAATGTAGATATAGAAAAGACATGCCTTACAGTTTTAATTTTTTATTAATAAAGTTTGATAAATAGTATCTTTTCGCAATCGGATTAAGTATTTTGTGTGATTTCTGTTAAATCAATTGTCTATCAGAAGAATGTATGAAGCCTAAATGATTGATATAAGTTAAATGTTTTATAAATATTTTAAAAAGATAATATTTTAAGCAGAAATTATAATAGATATCTTATCACTTAAACGTGCCATCGTATACAATCGTATGCTTATTTAAGAGTAAGATAATGTGTTTAATCTTTCATCAATTTTTCATTAATGTGCATATTTTTGTGCTTTGTTTTGCAAAACGTGATCTTTATATTAAACCTGGTCGATTAAACTTGATAAACTGAATCATTTATTGTTAATATAAAAAATTAATTTTGTTTTTTGTTTAATAAATAAAAATCTGTAAAATAGTATTTATAATAAATAAACTAAACATGATATTAATATAATATACTAAATATAAATAAATAAGAAAATTTTATGATGCATCTGTAAACATCTATTTTGAATCACTTCTAATAGAAGATCTAAATTTTTATATTTTTAATATTTTACAATTCTAAAATTGTAAAATAAAAGCTTTTTAAATGGTAAAAAAAATTTATTAATGTAAATGTTAGAATTATTTAAATATTTTTTTTATTTGCAGTAGTGTAAAATATTATCGATAATTAAATAGTACTATAAAGAAATAAAATTAATTAACGCAGGTATTTAGTGCAACTGACAAGAGCAAGAATGATCTTATTTGTATCATGCATTGCACGCGGTACATGACACGTAATCATTGGTACTATCCGTCACGATAGTTGCAGTAACCTAATTCCCTTTAACGAGAGAAGGCCGAATTACGCAATGAAATATTTTGCATTTTCTTGATGTTATTTAAGAAAATAGAAAGAATATAGTGGGGGAAAGAATTGATCAAATTTTGTGCATTTTTATAATATAATATAATTGTTTTGCTTATATATATAAGACTTAAAAATCATGATTTATGCTGTGTAAATTAATATATTAATTATCTGAACAACATTAATTATATTAATAAAATCAATTTCTTCATATTTTCGAAGTTCAAAGTTCAACATTATTATTAATAAAAGTCATTAATAATATGATAATACACTCACCCGCAAAAAAAAAACGGACCACCAAACTTTAACACAATTTTTTAATATCTTTGAATAGCGATAACTCAACAAAAAATCATCGTGGGATGAAAAAAATCGCAAATTAAAACTTGAACATTTTTCTTAACAGCCAAAAAAACCAAAATTGAATTATGCAAAATGTTTTACAAAATGGCGAACCTTGAAGATAGACTTTGAGAAATAAAAAACAAATTTTTTTTTTAAACTATTGCATTGCTCTAAAAAGTCGACTGCCGAGTACAAAAATGTATGCGTTTCTAAGCTCATTTATTTCCTAACAAATTCATATTTTAAAAATTTTTCTTTGACCTTTTTAAAGTTATACCGTTTTGAAAAAAATGTTATAAAATGGACAATTTTTTTTGTAAAATCTGTAATTTAGAAACAAATTATCGTGGAAAACATTTCAAAAAGGAAATTAAAATGTAAACTTTAAATCTTAAATCTTTTTTATTTCTCCATGATAAAATAATGTGCAAAGAATGTATGCTTTTTTTAAAATGGAAAAATTTAACCGATAATAAACATTTGTTTAGATAAATGCAAAGTTCAAACAAATAATCCTAAAAAAGTATACCATACATAATCTTGAAGAACTTGATTTATAAATTACTCAATCCAGGAGGTATAAGACAGTCGGATATAAAAAAACGGTTATATGTATTATCATATTAATTGCGCGTTAATAAAAAATGTACTTGTGCATACAATTTGCATATGCAATTTTTACATTATGCATGAATTACACATCAGTGATATAATTATATGGCATTATTAAAAATTTTTTTTTAACAATAATTTAGCCGTTTAAGCGTGATATACGCGTATTATGTATTATTAAAGATAATAACAAAACATATAATCTTTTTTTAAATATAATTATATTATAATTAAAATTAATAATTTTATTGTGAGATGACTTCTGACTTGCGCTATATACTTGTTATTGCAATAATTCTTCGCACAGAACGGAAACATTATATAATATAATACGCAGAAATAAAGAACGTGATATTGCTAGTGTGTTTAATTAGTGCATCGCAAATTCAGGCGTAGAAAAAATTTTTTAAAATAATTACATCAAAATATCTTTCTGCAGAAAATTAAAATATTTAAACAATAGTGTTAACGTGTGTTATATTATTTTCTTTTACAACATAACTCTAAAACTATTTTCAATTAATTATCGATGTAAATACAATACAATTAGTAATTTTTGTTGGATTCTTACTTGTTTTACATTAATAAAAAAGAAATTATGGAGCAAATACATTAACTTGCAAAGTAATCATGTTTTTGTTCTGTTCGAAGAATTATTGTAATATTGCAATAACAAGTATATATCGCAATTCAGAAGTCATCTCACAATAATCCTAAAAATTATAATAATTTTTGTAATGATTGATGTATGATTTATATCTTATTCTATGATCACTGCGCAAAATCACTGCATTAATCACTGCGTATTTTTTTTCTATTAAAGAATTTGATAACATAAAATAATAAATAATTTGTAGATTTGTTTTATTTACACAAATTTGTAGACTTTTAAAATATGAAAGAATTTTATTTTTTATTTATTCAATAACTTGTTTTTTTTTTTTTCTTTTTTTAATTACTGATCAAGATTTATCTTCCAAATATATTAATACATAAGTATGAAAATGATTAATATTATATTTGTGTAATATGCAAGATGAATCATGCGACGCTTGAAGTACAAACAATTTTTTCAGCAATTTTATGTGTAATTTTTATGTAATTTTTTAAATATATGTAAATACACTTTATAAAAAAAAATCATCTCGATTGTTAACATTGTCTACCACGTGAAACTAAATTATCGCGCAACAAAAATACTAATGCCGATGCAATTACGTAATTCAAATTTATGTCAATACAAACAAACTTACTGATTGTGAGTTAAAAACGCATTTCTTACATATTCCGTGTAATCTTTTGCGTGTATATTTACGACGCATTAATTGAACATAATAGAAATATGTTGCCATGTTTTACGGTTATTTTGTGTTATATAATGTATTCGTTTTATGCGTAGAATCATTATAACGTTGTAATAGCAAGCCGTTTTATCTCGCATTAAACAACTTATTACTTGATTTTATTATTAAAAATGCTTTGAGAGCGAGATCATTCTCTTGTAAAAAAAATACAAATTATCATAGGACGTCATATCACACTTTCAGTGCCCAATACATTTCGAATTTAATCTCTACGAGGTCTAAATGATAAGCGCGCGACTGTTAATCGAGTGTTGCCACTTGCGCTGGCAAAATTCGCGGCGGGCTAACCATCGAAATCATTTTTATTTAGAATAAAGAAACAGGTACGCTCAACGAATAGCAAAGCCCTTATTTGACGGTCTGTTCATCTGAAAACACAAATAAGCCAAATACAAATTGCGATTGATAATTGTAGCAAGAAAAGCCTGCGACGTGTTATGTACGTTATCTCAGTTTTGGGGCAAACTATTATCTAACATAAATATTCTATTATCTAACATAAATATGAACTTAACTTTTTTTTATCCAAATACATGCATTACTAATACCAACTCAACATACGACTATATATTCGTTCATTTTTTAAACCAACGATAGTATAGCACTAGTCTGCAAATTTTACGGATCTCTCGATTTTAAATTAATGTAATTTTTGATTATTTTATTTTAAATATGTATTTAGTGCGCTGCAAAGATTGCGCGCGCGCGCGCGCGTGTGTGTGTGATATTTTATTGTTTTTATTCAATATATTTTATACCTAACGAAATCGTTCTTACTTGTAAATAAAACCGTGAGCCATAGATGGGCTTTTACGGAAACTTGTGCGTCACCCATATATGGATGACGTGGCACTCAAAGTGTTAATACTTTATATTATAATAAGCTTAGAAAATCAATATAAACATCATTAATATAAATAATTGTTAATGCTGTTCCTCCGTACTTACCATGTTACTTACATAAATTTCTCAAGACTTCTATATTTCATTTCTCTGCGATTAAACAAAGACTCTGTTGCTGTTGCAGACGAAAACATCAGACAACCATGGTGAAGGCATACAACGGTGCATTGATCCTAGCGGATGTCTTGGTGCTCATTTTGAAGATTTTGTATTACATCTGTGAGAGTATTTATAAATTCTTTGTTCCGGCGGAAGAGAAGAGCGTAGCCGGTGAGATCGTTCTGGTATATATCAAACTTACGATATACAGTAATTGTATTTTATTAAAATAATTCATAATAACGTACTGTTTTTTGTATTATACTTGTACAGATAACAGGCACAGGCCACGGTATCGGAAAGGAGTTGGCACTCCGTTACGCATCTCTGGGCGCAACAGTGGTATGTTGGGATTTGAACCAACAAGCAAACGAGGAGACGATTAACGAAATTAAGAAAACGGGAACTACCGCAGCATACGCATATCAGTACGCATATCATATTTGTTGTTTTAAAAATGTGAAGAAATTGCGAGGAAAAACTCGTAACATTGTCATTTAGATGCCCACAAGTATCGCGAGCAGCAGTACTGCTCGAATTTAGCTAATTATACTCCGATAATTGATGCACATATTCGACAAAAGTCTAATGATGTTCTCATTTCAGATGCGACGTCTCGAAGAGGGAAGACGTTCTCAGTGTAGCTGAAAAAGTCAAAAGAGAAGTCGGTGATGTCACTATTTTAGTTAACAATGCGGGTATAATGCCTTGCCATACACTGCTCGATCATACGACCGATGAAATTAAACGTATCTTCGACATTAACGTATTAGCCCACTTCTGGGTAAGTTAAAAAGATACATACGCACTGTATCGAAATTATTAATATTATAAAAATTACCTTAAATGATTAAATATTATCAATACGAAACAATAGGAGATTTATGCATAATAATATATTTTTTATTAATGTAAAGCGTCACATACGATATTAGAATACTCTATTGAATATTTTATTGTTTGTGCAGATGCTGCAAGCATTCTTACCAAGCATGATCGAGAAAAATCACGGTCATGTCGTCGCATTATCGTCACTGGCAGGAATCGGTGGCTTTCCAAATTTAGTTCCTTATTGTGCTTCGAAGTTTGCAGTTAGAGGTAAAAATAGCTTGCGTCCAACGTTTTTTATATTACATTTTATGCGATTTATATGCAAATGCCGGAATTATTCACCGTATCACAATATATAAATTATTAGAAAGGAGCGTAAAGAGCCACAATACAGGTTATTCGTGCGAAGGTTACAGTATATTCGTTTTAAAATTATTTACATTTACATTTAAACTTAACACAAAAAATGTAAATGTTGACACTTATTATATTGAATATTGCTTATAAGCTTACATTTTTTGTGTTAAGTTTAAATGTAAATGTAAAATAATTTTAAAACAAATATATTGTAACCTTCGCACGAATAACCTGCATTGTGGCTCTTTACGCTCCTTTCTAATATTTGTTGATTTTGAAAATCACTAGAGCTTTATATATCTATTATATAAATTATTTTTATTTAAAAAAATTTGTATTCTTAATCTGTTTTGTAAATATTCCAGGACTTATGGAAGCACTTAGCGAGGAGTTGCGGATAGGTACAAAAGGAAAATCTTTAATTAAATTCACCACGATTTATCCATATATGGTAGACACTGGACTTTGCAAGAAACCAAAAATAAAGTAAGTGTAGAAGGAGTCTTTTCAAAGGACATTTTTGCAATAGACGAAGCATAATTCTGTGTTATTTATTATGCATAATATGTGAATATAAAATTACTATATAAAAGCATTAATTTGCAAAATTAGACGTTTCGCGATAGACACACTTATGTGTTGCACAATGATATGAGAACATAAATGCACAAGTTAATTACACATTATTAAGTAATTATGTTTCTACATGCAGACTAAACTTTTGGATGCGAGGTAAGCTATTGTAATTCTTCTAGAGAAAGATATGTATAAAAATGCAATGCAATAAAATTACGTGCAAATTATTTATCTTAAAAATTACAAATTTTATTATTCAAATTTAGATATTTGTTGCAACACCCCTCTTATGTTAAATTTGTTTCGTATAGCAATTTTTATAAAATTTAAAATAGCATTAATTTTATACAATGACTATTGGTTATTATCCATGCTAAATGTCTTAATTTCAATAGGTTCGAAAAAATCCTGCCATTGGTTTCAACGCAACAAGCCGTTTCACAAATAATTCGCGCGCAAAGGACAAATCAGCAAGAAAAAACTGTGCCTTCATTCTGGTTGTCAACTCTAACAATAACAAGGTAACTTAATTGTAAAATTACTGCAGCAATTATAAAAAAACCCTAATCCAAAAGAACATATTTATGAAAATTTTAGTGCGTTAATTTGAAATTTTTTACATTTAATAAATAAGATAAAAATCACAAGATTTGATATAATTATTATTTCAAATTATGTGCTAATATGTGTTATAAAGAAATCATAATACGTTTAATTACTATAACTGTAATTTATTTTTTCATAATAATGAAAAAATCAATTTTTGGTAACTTCTATTAATTTCTTAAAGATATTAAGTAAATAAAAAATAGTGATAAGCAAAATAAATAGTGATAAGCGTTTTCTTGTTTCAGAATATTTCCTGACAACGTACTAAGAGCTGTAGCAGATTTTTGTGATAGTGGTGTGGAGGCGGTGTCAAGCTAACAAATGCAAAAAAAAACACACGTCTGATTAATTTCATACTAATTCATAAATGAAATCTTTTATATAAGTATGTAGTATGTTATTTCATCATTTACGAGATATCGTACCAAACAAATCGAGATTGACATTGTTTTTGCTAAATAACTTGCACTAATAAAACGTAATATAAAAACCATCGGCAATCTCCGTTTGCACTATATTTTATAAATAATGCAATAACATATTAGCACTGTGTGTAAAAATAATTTTCATTTAATTAATTATTAATATTTCATTGTTGTAATCTATTGATATAGGTAAATGCGCAAGTGTAGATGTTTTATACATAACGATGAAAGTATCGCTAATAAAAACTTTTTATACAATATTAAAAGAACCACCGACAATGTTTTGTTTTGCTGAATTGATAAACAAAATATTGTCTTTGTAGTAATAACCGCATTTATGAAGTTATATTAACAACATAAAAAATATAGGTTCAGCAACTTTTCGATATAATTATTCACTTTTACTATTAATAATACATATTTTATGTGAGTTTTATTGTTATACATAAGAGATGTACAGTAATCATTTGGACATAATAATTATGATATATACGTATAATTATATCATTATATATGTATAAGCCTAAAGCCTCTTAGGAGATGATTTAATGCTCTCGGATTTTAATTTAGTGACAATTGTTACATATACGTAGCTGTAAAGAATAAATAAAAAGTAAAGAGAAAAGCAACGAAAATCGAGTTTATACATAATACGCACATATTAAAGAATTTTAACGATTTATTTGATCAAAATTTGTAAGCAAAGTTTTGATATTTATTAATATATTCATTAATTATACATAATAAGAATGCTATATTGAGATCCGAGATATTATATCTAATTTATTGTGTTTCTACTAAATAAGTCAATTTTCAAATTTTTCAATTTTGTATTAAAAGTACTGTACAAATAAAAGATTTTAACTAAATGATAAATAAAAGAAAAAAACAAAATATACTTACTTTTTCTAATTGTTTTATGCACTTATAAAGCTGACATTTTTTATTAAATTTGAGTAATTAATTTTTAGTAAAATATTATAATTAATTTTTAGTAAAACTAATATTATAATTAACCGGAATGAGTGTATATGTTTTAGAGATGTAAAGATAACATTTCAAAGTTAAAGAGAACTTTTGCGCTCTGCAATCGCAATGTTTCAAATAATTATAAAAGGCTCTCCATCTGTAAATTATATTAACACATAATATATTATATTAAAACACATTGTAGATCAGTTATTTTGTTTATATATTTTTATACATATAATCCGCTTCAAGCGTTTGTATAGAAAATGTGAGAATCTTTGTGATCAGAGAGAGTCTATCATCTTACCATTAAAATTAAAATATCTGCAATGTCACTATATCTTTTTTCTCCTACATTCAATTACTTTTTTACGTGTTTTAATAAAATAATATAATTCTTTTAAGAACATTATACATAATAACAGATATAATAAAAGATCATATAATATCATAAAATGGTTAAAAAGAAATCTTCTTTGTATCCGCTATTAAATCGAATAATTAATAATATTTAATAATGATTAAGTATTAATTGCAGATTACTAAAGACTTCTTCGCATACCAAAAAAATACACATGTTAATCATATGGCTCGCCAATGGTAAATTAGGTCCGGAAACCAGTGTGTTGCATAATTAAGACCGCGCGCCGATTGCATTGTTCTACAATGAATATTTTTTTCCAATTTTATTAAGTAATTTTAATATTATTTTTGATATGAGAAATCCAAATATAAAATAAAAAATAGCCTATCAGGGATGGTTTTAGAGTTACAGATTCATAATATAAATTTCCGAAGAGATCACAGTTTATTGGGAGTAGAACAGTCGTGATAAAAAATCTCATTATATAAAGAAAAATTGGCCAAGAAATTGGAAATTCGGAGAAAAAATGTACAGAAACAAAGTCTTGTTTCTTATGAAGATGTGACCCTTCCTTCCCTTCGTATAAAACTGAGCTCAATGAAGTAATTTGTGAAGGCAATGGATAAGGATAGAGCGCAGGATTTATCTATCTTGGATCCAAATTTCTTTGACTATCAGATGTAAAATAAAAAAAGATAGTATTTGTTGGTTCAAAAATAAGAGAATTGAAAAAAGATACAAAATTTGACGAATATCTCACCGAAAAAAAGAATTTTGTAACAATTCCTTGCCTGGAATTGTTTCAAAAAAGTAATAGACAATTTTCTTGGTAGAAACAGGTCTAATTTGGTTAGCCAGATGTTAAATGTATACCATGATTTAGGATGCAATATGTCTTTGGAAATTCTGCAGTGTTTTTGTCCTTCCTTCTTCACATCTAAACTTTTTTCCAGAGACTTGTAACGACGTCTCACAACAGACGAACATGTGGTGAGCATGTGGTGTTTCATAAAGCCATAAGACTCTAACCATTGAGAAGCGATATGAAAAAAAGTGAACAGCTATTTTATTACAGCCACACAAACACTCGCTTCAACTCGCTTAAAATTGACTGTCAGTTAATTAAATAACTGGTATGATCTAAGCCTAAAATGTTGACTGATTTCTACTAATCATCATAAGAGACAATAATGATATACACAAAAAAACGAAAATAAAGTTCTTGGGTTAAAAAATTCTTAAATTCGTCATTTTTCATAAAATATACATATTTTGAAATTTTGTAAAACAATTTAATATTTTGATTTTGTAATCTATAAAATTTGAACAACATAATTAAAAGTAAGTGATATTTTGTGTGTTTTGTATTATAATGTTTTATAGTATTGGAAAATAAACTAAAAACGCGTAAAAAAAATTAAAAATAATATTACTCGAAAACTATTTCTAATGGAAAAAATAAACCAAATATATAAGGTAAATGTCCCAATTAGTGACAATGTCCCAATTTGTGACAATCGTGTCTTTTTTTCTCAATAAATCAATTAATATTGATCAATGTTCATTCTAAAAATTATGTTGGTATTTAAAATTGTACATATTATCTATTACAACGAATTATGAATAAAATTAAACGCTTTTGTAAAGGCTAAAATATTGTGATTATAAGCTGCCAACAGTGGCAAATCGAGCAGTTGCTTACTGATATCTTATGAGGCGATGACTATATCGACGGTCCCTCCGTCGATTAATTCCAGCTATTATTAACCCATACAGTACAGAATATTGCAGCAACATTGCGGCGATATTGCAACATTCCAGCAACATTGCAAGAACATTGCAATATTGCCGCAATGTTGCTGCAATGTTTTGTGCTGTATGGGTAAGCTAAAAGTGAATAAAAAATAAGCACCTAAAGTTAAGTAGATATTAAGGAACATTGTGAGTAAACTGAAAACGTCACAAAATACATATTTTTTTAGTTAATGCATGTGTCACTAATCGTTACTAAAAATATTTGTTTTTCTTTATTATTGACAATCGAAACAAATATGATATAAAACGATAAAACGTTCCTATTTTTAAAGAAGACATGTAATTTATAAATATCAATCATTATTGAATTAAGGAATGGCATCAATATCGCAACTTATCTTTCCAGAATTTAGAAAATTTCCAGATAGCACAACATATCCAAAAGACGTCTAGAGGATGTTTTTGGGATTACAAGACGTCCTCTGGATATCCTTCGGATATCCTTTAGATGTATTTTGGACATGTGTGCTGTCTGGATTAATACAAATACGAGTTCCTAATCTATAAATTGTCATGTTTAAGTCAATAATAGGGACACTCATGATTCTGTACCAATTTGTGATACTCGGTAGAGTTTCTAACCTATTAATTGTCACGTGTGAGTATTAAAACACTCTTAATTCTTTATTCTAAATGATAAAAAGAAACACTGAAAATAAAACTTAAGTGATTAAAATAACAATAAATAGATATCATAAATGTATATAATAACGTTGTATTACTTTTTTCTTTTTGTATTCAATAAAAATACTTAATGTCAAAATCGGTAATAAGTCAAAATTTTATGTCCATTTATGTTCATTATTTAGAGTGTCTCGCGAGACTTGTCCCACCGGGAACAGGGAGGTAGATGGGGTCAAAATAAATATAAAAGTCCTTTACGATATTCGCAATAATAAACGAGATATTAATTTTTACATTTGGACTAATGAGAGCGCGTCGAAAGAAGCGCTCTAGCTGCTCGAGATCTATCCCGGCCTAATCTATCATACATTGGCTGCGAGCGGCGCGTTAGAGAGGCAAGGAGAGGGGTTCAACTATCTACATTCCCATTTGCCAACAGCTTCGTTTGCCCACAACATTTTGCTGACAGCTTCAATTGCCGACATTCCCGATTGCCTACAGAGCGATTGTCTACAAGCATTATTGCGCACATTTAAAAATTAAAAATACAAACGTACGTTTGCACACGAGACATTATTGCACACATACACATTGCGCACATGACATTATTGCGCTTTGTGTAGAAACTCGTAAACCCATGTTGAACCTCGCTTTGTTTGAAATTTCACGCGTAGGCGGCGGAGGACTTCGCCCCTACGGAGCGAAGCCTGTCCCCCGCGTAAAACAAATAACAAATCCTACTCAGGTTATACCTAACAAGGTAAACCTAACAAGATGAACCAAGGTTCACAAACAAAGTTGTAAACCCATATTGAACCTCGTTTTGCATGGAAAGAATATGCGCAATAATATTATGTGCGCAATAATGTCATATGTGCAATGTGTATGTGTGCAATAATGTCTTGTGTGAAATGTACGTTTGTATTTTTAATTTTTAAATGTGCGCAATAATATTATGTGTACAATGTGTATGTGCGCAATAATATTATGTGTGCAATGTTATGTGCGCAATAATGTCATGTGTGCAATGTGTATGTGCGCAATAATGTCATGTGTGCAATGTGTATGTGTGCAATAATGTTTTGTGTGCAAACGTACGTTTGTATTTTTAATTTTTAAATGTGCGCAATAATGCTTGTAGGTAATTGCTCTGTAGGCAATCGGGAATGTCAGCAATTGAAGCTGTCGGCAAAATGTTGTGGGCAAACGAAACTGTTGGCAAATGGGAATGTAGGCAGTTGAGACTCTCCCGAGGCAAGAGGGGAAACCAGTGTTCCGATTAGTGACCGGTTTGTTTGCGCATGTGCAGCCATACGGCGTCAGTAAAGTGTCTCGTACATATAAAAAGAGGCACCGTTACCCAGCTTCATTTAAAGTAATAAAAATTTTTTTAATGTATTAAAAAATAAAATATATATACATATATATATGTACAAAAATATATTATATATATATATAATTTAATTATTTTATAAATTTCAATTATAATAAATAAAAAAGCCTTACCTTATTTTTATTTTCCTAACCTCATCCTGTCAAAAGTCCCGCGTAAAGTCCTGCACACGACGTGTGTCGGCACTGCATTTCCATCGCCGCGCAAGCGCAAAGCCACATATACGCTAAGCAACCGGGCCCTAACATGGACATAGGAATATAGGGACGGAGTGTAACGTCGCGAGGGGAAAACCACTGAAGGAAAGGGACGAAAGTAAACTGTGCACATTTTTGATTGGCTACTATTTGACGCAAGTGCAGTTGGTCAGTTATTT